TGAAATACACCTGTAGCCGATAATAAGAGAATGTGATGTTTCTTGTTTCTGCCCCAAAGTCACCAGGGATGTTGGTTAGGCTATTTTTTGTTGGTTTTTTTCTGGCCTTTTCCCACTGAATTCTCTGCCATCAAAGTAACTCCATGGATTTCACTGCTGTGGAGGTGTGGCTATCGAATTTTTGCGATAGGAAAACAAATGCTTTTGAATAAAACTACATAACAAAAAATAGTAAGTTTATTAAACCATAAAACAAAAAAACACAAAGAAAGAAGACATCAAGAAATATTTTTGGTTTCAGGTCTGATGATAGTCACCCAATCTTCACGGCTCTAGGAAAGCTAGAGTCCATGAAGAGTTGAAATTCTGTTCTACATTTTCTTCTTTTGATCACAATTCTTCTACAGAATTTTTGACCAAAATATTCAGTAATGGCACTGTCCAGTTCTTTGGATTCCAATGCAAAGAAGGCAGTTGTTGTTTATGGAAGTGCAATTCACACATTCCATACTTTCCTCCCATTCCCGATCCCTCTCCTTTCTCTGTAGTTCCAAACAAACACACCAATTGTGCTTTGAATGGCTGCTTGCAGCTTTTATGAACCCAAGCACTACACACTGAACTAGAAGGTAGAACAAAGGCACTAAACACATTAGGCCAATTAAACTGGAATGTCCTATAAAATCACGATCCTAAACCTATAACCAAATCCCATAAGGTTTTCAGTTATAAAAAAGCAGCACAGCAACTCCTTTTTTCAACCTGTTGTAAACATATAACTCTTGCCAATACAACACTTTACAGATGTACACTTTATTGACATCAGTCAGAATAATTGTCGGTCCAATCCTGGCCTTACTAAATGCACTATTTTGACCATTGTTCATCCCCCTTCCCCGTTCCTTCCTTGCCCAAGCAAAATTTGGCATCTTGTGTTTGACTTCTTTCACTCAGCACAATGTTTTCCAGTTCCTTCCTAATTGTACATGCCTCCAGCCTCCAACCTTCTTACTAATTCTGACAGCAACTGTCCCCCTCAGTGCACTCTCTTTTCTGGTGGGTTTGATAAAAGCCATATACAACTCAGACAATACTCACAGTTAGAGAGTTTATGAGAAAAATAAAAGGTTACAATTCAGCATCAAGACTTCTTTTCTCCTATTACTGAGCAGTATTCCATCGTATGTATGAACATTTTGTTCATCCTTCTTGTGATGGACATTCAGGTTGTTTTTACCTTCTGGATATTGAAAATAGTACTGCAATAAATAGTGGTGTACAAGTCTCTACTAAGCTTCTGCTTTCCAGTCTTTTGGGTATAGGAGTTGAAGAATGGCTGGGCCTTCTGGTACTTCTATTTTTAGCTGTTTTGTTGTGTGTGTGTGTGTGTGTGTGTGTGTGTGTGTGTGTGTGTGTTTAAGGAACTGCCATACATTTTTCCTTAGTCACTGCATCATTTTGCATTGCCACCAGCAATGGATAAGGGTTTTGATTTCTCTATATCCTCGCCAACATTTGTTAATTCTTAAAAGAGCTTTATTTTTTATATTTTTAGTAGAAGTGAAATGGTTATCTCATTGTGGTTTTGATTTTAATCTCTCTAGTGGGTAGTTGATAATGAGCATCTTTTTAATATTTGTTAGCCATTTGAATGTCTTCTTTAATGAAATGTCGACACAAATCCTTTTTATTTCATGATTATCTTTCCATTGTTAATTTGTCAAAGTTCTATATAATTAATTCTCAGATTCTTGCCAGATATGGTTGATTAGGATATTTTCTCAAATGGTAACCTGTATTTTCACTTTTCTTGGTAAAGTCTTTTAAAGAACAAAAGTTAATGAGGTCCCATTTATTTACTTTGCGTTATGCAGTTTGTGGTTTGTTTGTTTGTTTGATTAGATAATCCACTGCTAGGCCTGACAGCATTACCCTGCTGTTGTTCTATAAATTTCATGGTTTTAGTTACACATTTAGATTACTAACCCATTTTGAATTTATTTTCATTTGAATTCATTTTTGTGTATGCTGTTAAGGCCTTTCCATTTTTCTGCCATGTGAAAATCCAACTTTCCCACACCATTTATTTGAGACTCTTCTTTCCCCATTGAATGAATTTAGCAACCGTGTCAAAAAGCAGTCGACCATTGGTTATTTACGTAGTTTTATTTCTAGACTCTCAATTCAGGTAATATTGACATCTTAGCAGCATTGCCTTCCAATCCAGGAGCATCTTTCCATCTATTAAGTCTCCTTTAACCTCTTGAGCGTTGTTTCTTACAAATCATTTACATCCTTGGTTAGATTTATTTCTTGGTAGCTTATTCTCTTAAGGTGCTGTTACAGATGGTATTGTTTCCCTAATTTCCTCTTCAGATTTCTCACTGATGGTGTACAGAAATTCAGTTGTTTGTTGGCCTTGTACCCTGCAAATGTGCTAAATTCCTCTTCTTGTAGACTCTTTGGCATGTGATTTATTTGGTCACTATAAGTCAGAGTCAACTCAATGGCAGTGATTTGGTCTTTAGAATCCTTATAGAAGCAGATCACTAGACTTTTTCCACAGTGCCAACCAACATTCTGATTTGTGGTAAAGTACCATTTGTAACACTTGTAGATCTTGGAAACACAAAGCCCTTGCTCTTAAACCATTACAATCTTAAGGGCAATACTTTGCCAGTGTTCTTAATAAAGCAACAAAGAAACATGAAAAGATAAACAAGGGCTAGTGTATAGAGTCTTAACAGACATTAGTTGTAGAAATGATGTGGCAAAGGCAGGGGGAAATGATGTTCCTTCACCAGGGGGAAGGAGACTTGAGATCAGTTTAGCAAGCTTTGGGTTCTATGAGGTGGAGGTCAGACATGCCTCCAGCCTCCAACCTTCTTATTAATTCTGACAGCAACTGTGCCCTCAGTGCACTCTACTTTTCTGGTGGGTTTGATAAAAGCCTACACAACTCAGACAATACTCACAGTTAGAGAGTTTATGAGAAAAATAAAAGGTTACAATTCAGTATCAAATGACTGTGGTCAAGGCAGGTTCTTCTCAGCTTAACCAAAGGCATATCTCTCGCTGGCCCTGTCTTTCTGCTTTGATGATCCCTCAGCCACTGCCTTCATGGGGCGAGTGTTACACAGCAAGCTCTTGAGTTCTACCAGTGAGTACAGAGAGGCACCACATTCCTTCAGCAAGCCTCTTGCATGAAGCCATTCAGTTTTCTCACTCTACCTTCTGTTAGATTCCTGGTTCTACTGCCATTTCTCTATCGTTGCTTCTCACTATCTATGTCTCTGGTTTTCTCTTTTCTGGATTGACAAAGGCTCTCAATCCAGTGCTCTTACTTCCGAAGGGCATGCTTTGCTCGCTAGGTTTCTTTCTCGGTTCTCTTTACTCTGGAATTGCTCTCTTTTTAAGCCCAGCAGGATGACAAAGCTAACAATCCCCTCATTAGCACTTCATGTACGTTATTGGTGTGGTCCGCCCAAGACAAAGTTGCCATGTGCCTTACTGGCATTAGCACGCTACCCAGTTCCTTTGGTAGGCCCAAAGCACCTCATTTTCATAGCCCCATGTAATCATTTGGTAGGGGTTGCAAAAACTACAGTCATAAAGGTCAAACAATCTTTGAGTGAATATTCAAAAAGATATATTTCTTCTATGTGCCAGATACTGTGGAGGTCTTTCAGGGTGGTTTTTAAACAAAAATACAGTGTCCCTTGCACACCAGTGCCTTAATTTGTGAAGGGGATGGCAAAGGAAAGAAATCATCAATGTTGCATAAAAATCAGTGACTGAGAGTCAGAACAGAGGAGGCTGTCTACTCCCATACAAGTTACAGTCTCAGAAGCCCACAGGGGCAGTTCTACCAGGTTCTATAGGGTCAATATGCATCAGAATCAACTCAATTGCAGTGAGATAGGGGTAGGGATGGCGGTAGGGGTAGGGAGTTGTGAAATAATGGAGGCAGAGATCAGAGTGATGAACTAAAGAAATCCAGTAGAGTGTATATTTGGGGGATAAAGGAGGAAGAGAAAAGATAGAACACCTCTAAGGAGGGATGACAGGTTAAAAGGCATTTTGGTATTTATGACAATGCTCCAATAAAGAGGAAGAGATTGGAAATGAAGGCGACTGTGAGATCCACAGTAAACACAGAGAAAGTCTTAATACAGAATAAGGCAAGCTTTTCCATTCTGAAAAGAAGGGCAGAGGCAAGGACTAGTGGAGGAGGCAGCAGGAAGCAAACCAGTCCCACCAAAAGGCTTTTATGTTTGCTGTAAAGGCCATCTGCTGAAAGTAGCAAAGATTCAAAACACATAGAAAAGCTTAAAATAACTACTGCAAAGAAGTGGGCAAACCAGGACACGGAAAGTACTAACCAGATACTGAAGTGGAACAGAATACATTTATTAGTGCAGCAACGGGATTGTATGGAAGGGTGTTTTTCCAATAGTGCTACCCATAAAACTTAAAAGCATACTGTCAGAATCATTCAGAGGCAAATTTTCCTTGAAAAGTGACTTGGAAGGCAATGGGACAAAGGGACTGAAGATCCTGAAGGATCGTTGAATAGATGTCTAAAGAAAAGCAGGAGAGCAAAGGCATTTTAAGGATCGCTTGGGTTGGTCAGTGTGACAATCTCCACTGCACCGTTTGTCTTTACATTTGATGTTTACTCTATAAAAACTTTTTGACTATGGTTCTATTTACTACTGAAGTAATGCTTTCAAGAATTAAAACTCAATTTACATCCATTCCCATCAAATTGATGGATATCTGTACAGATAGATAAACCACACTAATTTCAAGATCAGAAGGCTTGGGAGAAACCAAATTCAATATGCGTATATATTTATTTATTTTAAATTGGGCACAAGGAATAAAAAAGACCTTGATATTCTGTCTTCTGAGTTACAGCTAGCAGGAACGAGTGGCAGAGGGGGAACATGGGTGTGGGGTGAAGAGCTGGGAGGGGCTTGGCTGGAGGTCTAGTCCGCTTACTTTTTATACTGGAAGGGCTCCTCGCCGGTCTCGTAAAGAAGACACGTGCGGATGAGGGCTTCGGTCACCGCGAAGGGGTCACAGTTGGCGGAGGGGCGGCGGTCTTCAAAGTAGCCCTTCTTCTCCTGGCCGGTCATCCGAGGAATGCGGATGCTGGCGCCTCAGTTGGCCACGCCAGCGGAAAAGTCGTTGATGTTGGAGGTTTCGTGGAATCCCGTGAGGCGTCGGGCGTTGTCCAAGCCCCCTTTGGGGTCGTAGGCCCGGATGTGGTATTGGTGCCACTTGCTTAGCCTCTCGATGGACTCCTCAATGTGATTCAGACCATTCTCTTCCCGCCTGGCCTTGGTGCTGAAGTTGGTATGACAGCCTGCACCATTCCAGTTCCCAGGGATGGGCTTAGGATCAAAGGTTGCTATCACTCCTAAGTCTTCACACACACACACACACACACACACACACACACACACACACACACTCGGTGCAGGATGAAGCGGGCCACCCAGAGATGACCCCCCATGTCGATTCCTTCACAGGGTCCTAGCTAGAACTCCCGCTGGGCAGGCATGACCTTGGCATTCGTCCCGCCAATCTTGATGCCAGCATACAAGCAGGCCCAGTAGTGAGCCTCCACAATGTCCCTGCCGTAGGCTTTGTCTGCCCCCATTTTGCAATAATACAGACCTTGGGGTCCAGGAAAGCCATTGGAAGGCAAACCAAAGGGGTGCCTATTTGTCCCCAGAGGGTATACTCCTGCTCCATTCCAAACCAGGGGTGTTGGCTGGTTATCATGTCCATAATCCGTTCACAAGTGTGCCTACAGGTTGGTCTCTGCAGGCTTTCGGTTGTACTTAAAGACTTCACAGAACACCAGCTTGTTAGGGTCCCTGCGGAACGGGTCCCGGAACATGACAACAGGGACGAGATACATGTCACTGCTGGAGCCTTCAGACTGGAAAGTGCTGGAGCCGTCCAAATTCCACTCTTTCACACACTTAGGCTCCCAGTCCAGGGTTCGGGTTTTGCAGCGGAGCCCTTCTCCAGTGCCATCGATCCAGATATACATGGCTTGGACTTTATCGCCCTGAGGCAGAGCCATGTACATCTGCTTGACGCCTTTGTTCAAGTGGGAACTTGTTGAGGTGGCCATGGTGGAAGGTGTCCTGGGCTGCAAGGTGTTCTGGCGGCGAGAGCGAGGTGAGGCCATGTGGACTGCTTACAAGCTCAACTTGACTCCCATTCTCAGCTCTGCCCAGGTATATATTTGTCTCGTTAAATGGATAAAATGGTAAGAGCATAAATGGTAAGAGTTAATGCTTGATACAATTGATGTATGGATTGTTATAAGAGCTGTAAGAGCCACCAATTAAATGATCTTTTAATAAAGTTTAAAAATGGTAGTAATTAATGACGCATATTGTAAACTTAATGTTAAACGCTCTTCCATAGATGTAGTTACTATAAAGGATACTGAAAAGATGCTAATTAAAAATAAGATTGTCATTTTAAGTTCTCCCAGAATTACTGTTTTTTATACCAAACATAAATCCTAATAACTACATGCTCTAATGCAGGCGTCCTCAAACTGCGGCCTGCCAAGGACATGTATCCGGCCCGCCAGGTGTTTTTGCCCCGTTTATTTTTTCACTTCAAAATAAGATTATGTGCAGTGTGTATAGGAATTTGTTCGTAGTTTTTTTTAAACTATAGTCTGAGGGACAGTGAACTGGTCCCGTTTAAAAAGTTTGAGGACCCCTGCTCTAGTGCATTAAAGAATGAAATGCCTAGAAAACACAAGTCTTCTGTTCTACATATCATTCATATTTAATTCCTTTTAAAAAACATTTGGGACCAGAATCACTAGATGATGCCTTGCAACCAATGCTGAATATTTTGATCCAAGATTCTATAGACGAATCTAGAACAAAATGGAAAAAAAGATGCCTAAAAGAACTTCAAATTCTCTGATTCCAAAATTTCTGGAGCCATGGAGGCTGAATGAACCCCTGAAACTACTGCCCTAAGATGCACTTAAAAACAAAAAATATTCCTTATAGTCTTAAAACTAAACAATAGTTTAACTAGTAAAGATGTCTGCCTTAAGCTAAGTTCGTTCTATATATAGCGTTTAATTGACAACAGCACATAGAAAATTTTAGAGGGCAGGAGGGGGCATGTTTAATGGAGGAGGAGTAACTCAGAAAAAGATGGTAAGAGCTGTGTAACTCAGAATGTCATCAAGGTTACTGGCCTGTACTTGTGGAAACTTGAATTGGTGTTATGTGTTTGCTGGGCATATGCTCACTGAAAATAAATTGTTCTAAACATTTTAACTTGTTTATACTAACATCACAAGTATAGTTTGTTGCAAAATGTTTTTTCCATTTACTTTCTCATTTCCCTAGCAGGAACGCATCTTTCAAAACTCAAGTAAAGAGGTAGCAGGTGTAACCAATGACAATATATTAAGGGGAAAGAAGGGAAGAGAATTATCATAGAACATACTTAAGAGTTTATCACTAAGAATAAAATGAATGACCCTTAATTCCTAAAAGGTCATTTGGATACTAAAAGAGTAAAGATCAAATTTATATTAACATTTGAAATTTAGAAAAAATTAACTTTTAAGAAATACACTTTACTATACAGATGTGCTGGTAACCACCCATCACCGAAATTAATATATCACTTGACAGCATCAGTGGCAAATGTAGACATCAAAAGAGAAATATTTCATTTGAAAGTCACTGTCCAATTAGGAACAACAGACCAATATTTAGCCAATCCCAGCTCAGCCACTAATGAGATACACTGAGATCTCAGAAGTCCGTCTCACTCACAGTCATCCAGTCAATGCTGACTCCTAACGACCCTTGCAGGGCAGGGGGAGAGAGCTGCCCTTATAAGAGACTAACTGTGCACAGGTGTAGAAAAGATCCATCCTTCTCCCAAGGAATGGCTGGTGGTTCTGAATTGCTGACCTTTTGGACTGCATTTGAATGCTTTACCTTTCTACCACCAGGTCTCACTCAGGAGTCCATAGGAAGCTCACATGGTTAAGTGTTCAACTGTGAGCTTAAAGGCTGGTGGTTCAAGCCAAACCATGGGTGCGCCTCAGAAAATAGGCTCGATGATCTGTTCTAGAGGTCTGTCTTGAAAAGTGTATGCAGTAGTTCCACTATGACACAGGAGACTGCTATGAGTCAGAAGGGGCTTGAGAGCAACTACCACCACGACCTGAAGCCTCAATTTCCTTCTCTACATAAACTAAAACTAAAGCCACTGCTGCCACGTTGATTCCAGCTCCTAATGACCCTTTAAGAAACAGGGTTCCCAATGTTGCAAATGTTTACAAATGCTGACTGCCTCATCTTTTTCCTAAAGAGCAGCTAGTGAGTTTGATCCATTGGCCTCCTGATTAACAGCCCAATGTCGAAGCCATTTACACCACCAGGAGTCATTCATTTATCTCAAACTCATTGCCATCAAATTTGAAAGCCACCCTGAAAAGTATTTTTGAAAAAAAAAAAAAAATTCACCAAATTGTTCTTTCCCCCAATCACTGCTGGTGGGTTCAAAATGTTGACCTTGTGGTTAGCCCAATTCGTAATCTACTACACCACCAGGGCTCCTTTGAAAATACACACCCAAAAACCAAACTTGTTGCTATCAAGTCAGAAAAAATACTATTTAAAACGTAGGATGGTACCTCTGATAAATAAAGTAACCCAATTCACAATAAACACTTCTCAAAGATCCTAAAACAAAACTGCTTCTACCCATTCAAAGGCTATATTTACAGACTTACAGGTTTAAATGTTGACACATTCAGAAAGGCAGAAAATAAAACTAGGACATAAACTGGGCTCTTTAAACTAAACCAAACTTATGAATTCAAACACCAACCTTAGGTTAGTAGCCAGGGGCAAACTATTTGCACCAGCTAAGGACCTATACCTGTACTCTTTGCCCACCTGGAATAATGTTGGGCTTTATATATACATCTCTCAGCTATCCTCCCAGAAAATCTAACATTATCTATCAGAAAAATTAAAACTAAAGTGGTTCAAAGTTACATTGCTATTACATAGCAGAGCTGAGGTTTGAAAATAGGACAACCTAAAAATCAATCATAACAGATAATACTGCCTGAGTACTGTAGCCCCTTAAAAGAAGAATCTACATAAAACTGAATGGGCACCAGTTATCCTACAGCAAAGATGAGCAGGTCAAGGGAAGGCAAAGAAGCTAGATTCATGGAAACAAGAGTGCTTACACACTGTGAAAAATTTAGCCAATGTCACTGAATGATTTCTACAGAAACTATTGTATGGGGTGCCTAATTTGCTGTGTAAACCTTCACCAAAAATACACTACTAAAGGGGGAAAAAAAAAGTACACAGTTTTAATCCAAGGCTCTCACTCCATCAATTCACTGTACCACAAGGCCTTCCTTATCAGGTAGCCCAAACCACTCCTGTTTATAGCTTGTAGACATCCAAATTAATACTTTTTAAAATTAAAAGCAATATTTTTGTTTCCTTTTATAAATTTAAGAAGCTCTAGTGGCAATGACAGTTAATTGCTGGACGGCTTACTGACCATGAGGGTTAGTGGTTCAAACCCACCAGTCACTCCTTGGGAGAAACATGAGGTTATATGCTCTCATAAGCTTAACAGCCTTGAAAAAGAAATGTTATGAGTCAGAATCAACATGATTGCAGTAGTGAGTATGTCTTATCATTTTAGGTATGCTTCTTAAAATATTCTAACTTTTTTCATTAAGAGCAAAACTAAAGATTATTTCATGTGACTGCCATTTTGGTTATTTAAACTAAGCCAAATATTTTTAATGTGGATTTTTAAGAATTAGATATTAAAAGTACAAAAATTTCACCTTAAAATAGAGTACACAAACTATGTGTATATATAAAATGTTATAAGGGGAGCAGGGAGGGAGGGGAAAAAATGAGGAGCTAATGCCAGGGGCTTAAGTGGAAAGCAAGTGTTTTGAGAATGATGAGGGCAATGAATGTACAAATGTGATTTACACAACTGATGTATTTATGGATTGTGATAAGAGTTGTATGAGCCCCTAATAAAATGATTTTTAAAAAATGTTATAAGCCCCCAAGATAGTCAAATTCATCTAATGTCTTTAGTTTTGTTTTTATAACAGCAACTTTAAAAAATTACAAATAAACTCTAATAGTTTAGAGTACCATCTTCCAATTGCACTTTACACTGATTTTCTTATTACTGATCACTTATTGAGATGCAGTATCTCAAGGAAATAGGTTATTGTCTGATAAGAAACTAAATAATAATGTATGGCCTGCCTTTCTGAGAGGCAGTATTAGTAAAACACATTGTAGTATAATGTAGCCCACCTAGTTTATACAGCACCTGAAATACTATACTTTTAGGAGAAAAGAAAGTAGCATGGAGTCAATTCCACCTCACAGCAACCCTAGGGGAAAGAGTAGAACTGCTCCAGGTTCCTAGGCTGCCACCTCCCTCTCCTGTGGAACGGCGGATGGGTTCGAACTACTGAGGGCTGGGTTAGCAGTCAAGTGCTTAACCACAGTGCCAACAGGATTTCTCCTTGGGGAACCCTAACCTTCAGTAGTCAGTGACCATTTAGAATTTTAGGAAACAGAATGAGGAAGTTAGCCAATCGATATGATTCCTTACAAATGGCTTTTATAATCATACTTCTAACTTAAGACAAATAAATACTGCATAGGAAAAAATGTCAGAAGTGTAAGCACGAAATGTTCATCATTAAAAGCCCTCACTGCCATCGAGTCAATATTAACTCACAGCAACTTCAAAATCTTTTCTTATGACAAACTTAAAAACAATCATAATGGAAAACTTAAATCCAAAGAGTTGGAATCAACTTCATGGCAGTGGATTCTAACTGCCAGTCTCAACCAAACTCTCACCCATTCCTAATAACAAACTTCCTAACTCACTCATAGCCATGGAGTATCGAGGACAACTCACAGCGACTCTGTAGGACAGGGTAGAATTTGCCGCCTGTGTGTTTCCAAGACTTTACACGCATTAAGAAAGCCCTTTCTGATGTCAGTTCTGCCCAAAGCACTATATAAGTTCAATGCTATCCCAATAGGAATACCACCACTCTTCTTCAAAGAACTGG